ACACAATAGTAAAATCCCATGGTTTGAAAACAATCACAAGGTAAATTAGAAAACATTTCTAACAAAATAGTAATGAAAAAGAAAATATGAAAATTTATAGGATGTAGCAAAAGCAAATCTTATGGAGTAACTTTATTAGGTTGTTGGGTTCTATGTAATAATGCATCATGACTTTTCCAACAACCCAATATAATTAAAAAATGTATTAAATCAAGGGACCAGCAGTTGGTGTAATAGCTATGTCGCTAGACTCCCATGTAGTTGACTACAGTTTGAGTCCCAGACCTAGTGGCTTAAACTCACGCTGGACGCGTGTGCGAGCATGCCCAAGATCCTGAGAGGAGAGTAGAGGAGAAGGGATTGAGGCACGGCCATCCCCCTTGGGGGATAATTTCATGCTTTCTGTCTCTGTCTCTCTCTGTCTTTCTGGCAAATGCACATGCCCTATAGCAAAAACCTTTGCAAAAAAAAAAAGTATTAAATCAATGATTTAAACTTCCACTCTAAGAAGCTTTAAAAGGAAGAAAAAAATTAAAAACTGAAAATAGGTCGGAGAAAGAAACAACAAAGATGAAAGCATGAATTAATAAAACAGAAAACAAACCAAAGACAAAAATGAACAAGGCCAAAAGTTGATTCTTTAAAAAAATTAGTAAAATCAATAAATCCTGGGACCAGCAGATGGTGTAATGGTTACGTTGCTGGACTCCCAATGTAGGCAACCTCAGTTTGAGTATTGGACCTGGTGGCTCATCAAGACATTGTTAAAAAAATGAAAATGCAAGTCATAGGACTGGGAGACAATATATCTGACAGCTGTATAAACAAATTCATATAGAACTCATTAATAAAAAGACTAACAACTAAACTAAAAATTGGTAAGATTGACCTGAACAGATACTTCATAGAAGAAGGTAGACCAATATGTACAGAAAAAGATGCCCAACATCATTAATAATCAAGAAATGCAAGTTAAAAATGAAATATCACTTCATTCCTTCTAAAATGGCTAAACTAAAAAGACTGACAATACCAAATGTTGACAAAGATGTGGAAAACCTTTGCATATCACTGGGTGTGTAAACTGGTACAAGTTTAGAAAAAGTTTGTCAGTTTCTTACAAAGTAAATCATATTCATACTCTCACTCCCAGGTGTTTATCTAAAGAAAAGACGATATAGGGCTATAAAAAGGCTTGTTCAGGGCCAGCAGGTGGCATGGTAATTAAGGTGTTGTATTCCCACATGGCTGACTGGGGTTTGAATCCCAGACCCAGTGGCTTGAAACTCATGCTGGGTGCATGTGTGCATGCATGCCCAAAATCCTGAGAGGAGAACAGAGAAGGGATAGTGGTATGGCCCTCCCCCCGGCAGGTGATTTCTCACTTCTTTCTCTGTCTCTGTGTCTTCAGTGAGCCCACGTGCGCGCGCACACACACACACACACACACACACACACACACACTGTATCAAGAATCTCTCTCTCAAACAAAAGGCTGTTTACTGCAGCTCCATTCATAAAATTTCCAAATTGAAAACAATCCAAATATCCACGAGTAAGTGAATGAATTAATAAATTACACTATATTCATACAATGGAATACACCCGCAGTAAAAAAGGAATGCCATAACAGAGATATCTTTAAACATTTATGCGGAACAAAAGCAAGACACCAAAGAGTAGAGACACTGTGATAAGACAAAGTGACAGAAAGCAGAACGGTAGTTGCCTTGGGGCTGAAGAGACTATTTGAAAAGAGGTATAAGTTAACTTTGTCAAAACTTACTGAAAAATACACTTAAAATCTGTCTACTCCACAGCACCTAAATTATAAATATATATGTATATATATATATATATATACACACACACACACATATATATATATATATACACACACATATATATATATACACACACACATGCACACACACACACACACACACACACACAAAGTCTTTGCCTTCAAAGAATTCATAATTTGGTTTCTGGTTAAGGAACAAGGCATTTTCAAAGATGTGAAAAAACAAAAGAAATTATAAAATAGATATCAAAGCAGTAGTGTCCATAAACA